TCTGTGCAGTCCTTGTGCCTAGTCCGCCATCTTGCCGGAACTCCCTCCATCCTTTTCTTTATGAATTCTGACAACGGCCATCCCTTCCACGCACTCACTACTTCTATGCTAGATTCAATAATTCATTGTTACGGCAACAGAGAACTCAGATAATACGATTATGGGGTTTATTAGGGAAGTTGTTATTGTTGTTATGTGCCGTTGAGTCATCTCCAACTCATAACAACCTCATGTACAGGAGAACGAAACACTGCCCGGTGCTGTGCCAGCCTCACAATCCCTACTACACCTGAGCCCATCGCTGCAGCCACCATGTCAGTCCATCTTGTTGAGGGCCTTCCCCTCTTTCATTGACCCTACACTTTACCAGGCATGACATCCTTTTCCAGAGAATGGTCTCTTCTTACGACATGACCAAAGTAGGTGAGATGAAGTCTGGCCATTCTCACTTCCAAGGAGCATTCCAGTTGCACTTCCTCCAGGACAGATCTGGGAAATAACAGGCTACAGTTCAGTTTCAGGGATGCTCAAGATACAGTTCTTCAATCAGGATAGCCTCTCCTGGTCATGACCCTCAGGCATGCTTCTCTTTGGCCCTTGGCCACTTGGCTTGGCCTCTGGACTGCTCGGGTAAGTGTAACAAAACTATTTTAGCTCTGCCAATAGGTACATCTAGGTGCACCCCCCTACACCAATGACTCCTGCCCAAACACACTCAACTTTCTCTCTCTGTGGGCTAGCAAACCTGCTGCTGTGTCTCGCGCCAGTCTCGGGTCTGCTGCCGCTGTCTCTCTTTGCCAAGGAGTCCAGTGAAGGATCTCAGGTCCAAGGATACACTTCACTCCACCTCCAGTGCTTTTCTCTTGATGGCAGTGAAGACACTCCCCGCCCCTTTTTTGCCCCTCAAACTCACTGCCATCGAGTTGATTGCGACTCATAGCTTGGGTTTCTGAGGCAGTATCACTATGGAAGTAGATTGCCCAGCCTTCCTTCCAAGGAGTGCCTAATGGATTTGAACTGCCAGCCTTCTGGTTAGCAGTCAAATGCCTTAGGCGCTATGCCACCAGAGCTCCCTTTCTGTCCCTGGGAGGGTTCATTTTAAGCCTAGCAGAATGACAAAAATAACCAATCCCCACATTAGAGTTCCATACATTTTATTTTGATGGTTCCATGCCCACAAGGGTTCCATATGTTATTTACATTACTAACAAGCTGTCCAGTCCCCTTGATGGGTCGTAAGCACCTTACATGTGCATAGTTCCACCCAGTAATCTGGTGGGAGTCACAAAGACCAGGGCTAGAAGAGCCATACATAGCAAGTAAGGCGCTGCACTGCAGACTCTAAAAAGAAAGAAGAAATTTGAATTGACCTATATCAAGTAAAGACAATGAGTAATTAAAAATCTTCCTTAAAGAAAACACTAGGCCCAAGTAGCTGCAGTAGAAAATTGCCTATCAAACGTTTAGGGAAGAAAAAAATGCCAGTGTTACACAAAATTTACCAGTAAAAAGAAAGAAGAAACACTGCCCAACCATTTTATGATGCCAGTATTACCCTAATATCAAAGTCAGGCAAAAAAATACCACAGGAAATGAAAACCACAGACCAATATCCTTCATTAACATAGATACATAAGTCCTTAACAAAATATTAACAAATCAAGTCAAGCAATATATAAAAAGCATTATATACCATATCCACCACACAAACCTGCTGTCGAGTCAGTTCCAACTCATAGGACAGAGTAAAACTGCCCCATAGGGTTTCTAAGGCTGTAAATTTTTATGGAAGCAGACTGCCACATTTTTCTCCCATAGTGCAGAGCAGCTGGTGGGTTCAAACCACCAACCTTTTGGCTAGCTACTGAGCACTTTAACCACTGTGCAACCAGGGCTACTATACCATATCCCAGGGACGTATATTCCAGGAATACAAGGATTAACATCTGAAAATTGACACATATGATACATAATATTAATAGAATAAAGGAGGAAAAAAAACATGGTTCTTTCAGAAGATACAGAAAAAGCTTTCGCAAAATTCAACACCCATTCATTTCAAGCCAGGAATAAACCGAACCAAACTCACTGCTGTTGAGTCGAGTCCAACTCATAGCAACCCCTCCTTCAGTTTCCGAGGCGGTATCACTGCAGAAGTAGATTGCCCAACCTTCCTTCTGAGGAGTGGCTGGTGGGTTTGAACTGCTAGCCTTCTGGTTAGCAGTCCTGTTAAATGGCATCTGCGAAAAACCTGTTACCTAATACAGACAGTAGTTAATGTCTCTGTTACAGTCTGGATTTTGCCCTATTTGCAAGCTATTAAGTTAGCCTGTTCCTGTTTCCTGGTTGCTGGCAGAAGACATGGGAGTCCTGGGTTAGAGACAAAGGACTTTATTACTCATGGCTCAGTTTGCATTAGTTCCTCCTCCCCCAAGTATGATGGGGTCAAACAGAAGGGCCCAGGGTGATGCTGTGCTTGGAGAGGTTTTGCATTGCAGTTGAGGAATTCTGAACTTGGGGAACTTGCATATTTTATAGCAAACCTGCTATTTTTCTAGAGGGAGAAATTAACTTATTCTGCAGTCTTGCAAACAGTCCTTGTGAAGCAGACTGCCCCATCTCTTTCATGGAGTGGCTGGTGGGTTCAAACCACCGACCCTTTGGTTATACAAACGCCTTAACACTGTACCACCAGAGTTCCTTTTAAACAGCTTTATTGAGATATAATTCACATACTGTACAATTCACCCATTAAAAGTATATGATTCAGTGGTCTTTAGTATATTCATAGAGTTGTATAGACTTCACCTTTTCACCATCCTCCCCAAAAATCTCACATCACTTTGTTGTCAGCCTCCGGTCTCACTCCCTCACATCCTGTCATCTGTCAGCCTAGGCAACCAGTAATTTTTCTGTTTCTTTAGACTTGCCTATTCTGGACATATAAATGGAATCTTACAATACTGGTACTGAGTAACTGGCTTCTTTCTCTTAGCGTAATGTTTGCAAGGTTCACCCATATTGTAACATCTATTAGTATTTCATTTCTTTTTAATTCTGAGTAACACTCCATTTTATATAGCGTATCTTGATTTTGTCCATTCCTAAGTTGATGGACATTTGGGTTGTTTCCGTTCTTTGGCTGTTAGGAATAATGCTGCTATGAACATTCATCTCCAAGTTTTCATGTGGACATAAGTTTTCATTTCTCTTGGCTATATATCTGAGAGTGGAATTGCTAAGCCATATGGTACCTGTTTAATCTTTGTTAAGCTTTTTTTTTTCCCCTGCCAATTTCTTATTGCGGTAAAATATATATAACATTAAATTTACCATTAATGACATTTGATGCCTTCATAGGGTTGTCCCACCATTGTCACCGTTTTGTTCCAGGATATTTTTAAAGGACCTCTAGTGGCATAGCGGTTAAAGCATTGGGCTGTGAGCCAAAATGCTGGGAGTTCAAAGTCGTTAGTTTTGTCATGGGTCTGGTATTAGACTATACTTTGTAATATTGCAAAGTGTGGGTAATTGATCACCAGTTTGTTATTTAAAAGGAACCCTAATGGCTCAGCTGTTAAAGCACTCATCAGCTAACCAAAAGGTCAGTGATTTGAACCCCCAGCTGCTATGCAGGAGAAAAATATGGCAGTCTGCTTCTGTAAAGATGTACAGCATTGGAAACCCTATGGGGCAATTCTACTGTGCCCTAGAGGGTCACTATGAGTCTGAATCGACTTAATGGCAGTGGGTTTTTTTTTTATTGTTGTTTAGTTGGTGGTAACGATTACAATATACAGTGGTTCTTTTAAGTGGTATGTATTCATTGTAGAAAACTTAAAAACACTGGATACTATAAAGAATATGATAAAACTTATTGATAATCCTGCCATTCAAAAACAAACATTGTTAACACTTTTTTCCTGTGGAAAAAAGTATATATATAGTTTATTTTATTGATTCCTCATTTCTGTTTAAGATTTACTTTGCATTTGAGTAGATTTTGTTTACCAAATCGCAGCATGGCTGGCCAACTGCTGTTGTAATAACTAATTTATAAGTCATCATACAGTGGGCAGACATTGGAGTTATTAGCTGTGAAATGGGTGGGAGTGGAGTTCAGGTGATATTTCACAGAAGAGGAAACACACATATTATAAAAATATACATGAATTCTTGATGAAAAACCAAAAACCACACCCACTGTCACTAAGTCAATTCCAATTCGTGTGCTACTGCTTAGTAATAAAACATTGGGGTTTCTAATAAGATTGCTTTTGTTCTGTTGTAGGAAGCTAGCGGGATGTACGCTTTTTATCACAGGTGCAAGCCGTGGCATTGGCAAAGCTATTGCATTAAAAGCAGCGAAGGATGGAGCAAATATTGTCATTGCTGCAAAGACTGTCCATGCACACCCCAAGCTTCCAGGCACGATATATACTGCTGCTGAAGAAAGTGAGTGAATGTGACAATGGCATTTCATGAGATATCATCACACTGGTTTCAATATGTAGGGAATTTGCTGAAGAATTTAGTTACAGTGGTATGAACACAAACCAAACATACTGCTGTTGAATTGATTCATAGTTAAGTGAAAAATACTCTACAATAGTTTTATGATTAAAGAAATAAACATTTATTCTTTGCCACTTTAGAACAGTGGGTTTGAACCTTATTCTTCTTTAGTACTTTTGAGTGATATGAGAGACTCCCATTAAGAATTACATTTCACTAGGGCAGTGGTTCTTTGATGGAAGTGAGGGATGAGGGTGGAAGTGGAAAGGATAGAACCTGAGGCATAGATGGTGTAAACACTTTATAAAAGCTTTTTATGTTATTTATTCTCTGCACAATTTGTAAGTCCTAATTTTAATACTTTATGCTCACAAGACACATACATTCAAGGTTTTGTGCTAGACATTGTGCCAAGAGAGAAGGCACCAGGAGAATGTTTTTATGGTTTAAATATTCAACTTCAGCTCGTCTGGCTGGTTTTGTTAGTTATAATTGTGTTGTAGTTATATGAAAGAAATGCATGGGAAGTATTTATGAGTGAAATGTTTTCTGGAATTTGTTTTAAAATGCACCAGCAAAAAAAATCCAGAGAAGATAGGAAGAGATAAACAAATTAAACAACTGGCAAAACATTAGCAACCATTTAAGACAGGTGATGGATTCATGGTAGTTTGTTATACTGCTGTTATACTTTTGTATATTTTTGAAATTTTCATAGTAAAAAAAATTTTTTAATTACCTTTTTTTGCTTTTTAATAGCATTTTTTAAAAGATTAAAATGATTAATTTTCAAAACAATTTATTTTCAAAAAGATTAATGGAACTTTTTAAAAGATTAATGCCTTTTTTCAAGTTTTTAATACAGTTGGCCTTACTAGTCTAAGGCTGGATGAGCTAGTCAATCTGTCCGATTTTAAAAGGGAAGAGTCACTCGTGGTTATAAGACATAGTTATTTATTTAGCTTTTGTAAAAATAGGGTTCTTTTTTCCCTTTTAATTGTTGTGTCAGAATGGAAGGTATAGTTGAATGCCTTGATGCTTTTTGTCTCTCTGCCCTTTCTAGTTGAAGCAGTTGGAGGAAGGGCCTTGCCGTGTGTTGTTGATGTGAGAGATGAACAGCAAATCAGTAATGCAGTGGAGAAAGCAGTCGAGAAGTTTGGAGGTAACACCCTAAATATGAAGTGGTTATTGAATGTTGGGTTACGTATAGGTATAATTACATCTCAGTTTTAATTCAGAATTTTTATTTTTTTATTTTTGAGGCTTTGGAATATAACCAGAACTGAATATTTTCTCATACAGAAACATCAGATCAGACCATATGATGACTTTTGTTTTTAATTGTTAGAAATTTTTTGAATACTGTAACAAGTACCTGCAAAACTATCACCCAAAATAAAATTAGGACCTCGACAGTACAGGTCCAGGATATGTATGAGGTCCTTTCTCCTTACTTCACCCTAGTTGAGGGTACCATTAGCTGATGACTTTTGACATTTACTAGATAAAGTGCATGTACCTTCTTGACATTCAAGATATTTCACAATCTGATCTCAAAGACTTTTTTTTTGTTCCATTTTCCTCCTTACCTACGTAAATGCCCTACTCCAGAAAAAAATAGTGTAGTTCCATTTCCTTACCTTGAATTTTTCCACCACTTTTTCTCTTCCTCTTCCTGAGACTTCTCTAATGGCAGTCCTTCCTGAAACGTTCCCCTTTACTGTCTTTTGAAAGCCTGCCTCTCTATGCTTAAATCTCATCTTCTTTGTAAGACCCTTTCCTTGAACGTGCTAATTAATCAAAAGTGTATTTTTCTTCCTCTGAATTCCTAAAACAGTCCTCTGATCCTTGTCTCACACTTTAGTTTCTAATATTTCTCCTGTCTCTCCAATTAATTCATAAGCTCCTAGAAGGCAGGTCTTAGGGACTGGGTGAGGCTTTGATGGTGTTATGGCCAGGCCCTTTGGCACATCCAGGTCCTTGTCAGACCATTACCACTCTTCCTCCATCATGTCCTAGGGGATCCTATGTACGTGTGAGGGGCACTGGCAAATGGAAAACAAGGTAGTGCTTTATTAACCAGGCTTGTGCATTTAAACCTTAATGCAAAGTGCCTAGGTGTGCTGAACTAGAGCCCAGGATGGCTTAAGTTGGGCTTCTTTAAATTCCAAAATCTTACCCTTCACTAACAGCCTTTCCCACAGGAAGGTGAATGCTCCTGTGGGAAGAGAGAGAGCTTGCAAAATTATTGCTTTTTCTTACTAATATGGTCACAAATGTAGAAGAGAAAGGATAGGGAACCACACTCATGTGTGTAACCTTTTATCCAGTGACTCCAGATACTGGTAAAAGTAGCCAAATTAATGCCCTAGAATCTGACCTAATTAGTTTATCCCTTCCTTTTAGAGAGGAGCTAAGGAAAGAAGATAGATAGAGGTTCCCTGTATTCTTCCAGTTTTAGTTCTTTATCTTGATCAACTGGTAAGTTTATTGCCCTTGAGGAATGAGACCATCACCTCTGCCACTTTTGTCTAAGCCCTTCTTCAATCTTTGTCTTTTCTGTGATTCCACTAATATCCACAGTTGAGTTGTTATCTGACATTGTCCCAACAAACCTCTGAAATTGGTCAAAACAGGACATTAGTTAAATGTACTCCCAGGCCATACTGAAATCACCCAGAACTCACTACCTGCTTAATTTCTCTTCTTGAATTCTGGCTGTGTTGTTCAACCTGGTTTATCAGAAACTTACACGTTCCGTATTGTGTGACAGTATAGCCCAATAGTATATGTCAAAACGTGAAGTGCCTTTGCTTCCAGTATTGGGTTCCTCCGGAGAAGCTGGAGTCTCGTAAATGACCTCTTTTCCTCTTGTTGTTGCCATAGGGAACTTAAAGGTCTAAATTGACATCTCCTTTGTCTGGAGAAGTTAATGCCCAGAAATCTTCCCCTCTCCAGTTTTCTTATTCTGCTTGGTCCCAGACAAAGCGCTTTCGCTCACATGCATCCTGGTCTGGATTTCTTTTTTAGCCATTGTAGCTTGGGTCACCTTCCACTGGACCTGGGATTCTTCCTTCAGCATCTTCAAAATTGGATTCATCTAACTCTTTCTGTTGTGCGGTCTACTTTGGCAGGAGTAGACAGACAGTGAAAGAGAGAAAAGGAAATTGTGGTTTTTACTTCCTCAGTGTCACTGATCTGCTATGTATGACCTGAGAATTTAAACTCATTTGGTAAAGTCATTTATTAAGAGAGTATACTTCCCATATCTTTGAGGGGGAAAAAATTCCCTATATATTTTGCTACCTGTCATTGAGAGGGGCTTCTGAAACACTGCTATCTTCTTGCACAATTTATAAATTTGTTGTGGAGTTGCCTCTAATTGGAGTCTTTCCTAAGGTTTCCTTTGGTCTCCCTTAATGTGCTCTTTGATGTATTTAATATTTTTGCTCTCTATTTCCCTGTTAACTTCTGCTTTCCTCCCTTTACAGTGAGGAATTAAGAATGAGCTCTGTTTGACTCTGCCTTTACTCTCTTAGTCAGGGTGGACACCATATTTATGAGGAGGGGCCGGTGGATTTGAACCGCCAGCATTCTGGTTAGCAGTCAAATGTCTTAGGTGCTGTGCTTCCAGAGCTCCTAGATAATTCATAGCCTGCTCTTTTTTTTTTTTTTCTCCCTGTGTCCTTTTTCTACAGTGATCCTGAGAGTTTATTTTTTTATTTGGTTGTTTTAGTTCCATACTGTGCTTGCTACTATTATAGCTTACTGTTCTTGAGTTCTGTAGACTTTGGCATTCTACCTTTTAGGAGAGACTTTACTTTTGTTCTGGTATTTGTCTTTGCTAGAGAGTCACCCTTAACAAAGTCCTCAGCTGTAGGGTCCTCTAGGCATGGTACTCTGCCAAGTGGTACACCCTATCACCTTGCCTTCCCCCTCGTCAGAGTTTCTCAGGTCTTGAGTAAATTATGCTGTTTCATAAGCCACAGAAACATTCTTTCTTGCCACTTTTTTTTTTTCTTACAGCAGGCACATATGAACTTTTTGTGTGTCACTTCCAACAGTTATTCTCCAATTCATTTGAATCTGTCCCATTTGAGTTTAGAAATTTTAACCTGCCTCTTAAATTGAACTCATTTTTTTTTCCTCCATAGGATAGTCAAGTATAATTTGCAAAATTCAACATACATTCATTCCTTGGGCCCAGATGTTTACTGTGCTAACATAACTTACCACCTGCTATACCGCAGTGACAGAAGTCAGTAAATTCTAGATTTGTCCAAAGCATCCATTGATTGTTTCAGTCTTCACTATCTTTATCTTCCTCAATAGGAATGAAGACATATTCAAAATTTTATAATGTTAATATATATGGAAAAAAGGATACTTACGACTCAAATGTTTTAATGAGTCTAATAACTTTATTTAAACCATAACCCACATACTGTGAGAGGGGCATAGGAAACTTAAGAAGATTAGAGAAGAGGTTCATGTCAAAGGTCTATCCCACTAGAACAGTAGATAAATTGTGATATATCTACTCGATGGAATATTAAGTGCCCTACAAAAAGAACAGTTATCAAGACCATGCAGAAACATAGGGAAATGTTTGATGTACTTTTGCATTTTGCTATTTTTATTTAGTATTATTTCACTAAGCATGTAACCATGAACAAAATATGTTACATATGAATGGGATTGCATAAAATGGGCAGAAATGGTAGTAGTTATGGGTCACCAAAACAAATTGGATCTCCTTTCTTATTTGCTTGAGTTTGAAACTCTAGGTTTCTTCTCTTTCCCCAGTTCCCAAGAGCAGAGAAGAACCCTCTCCTTTAAGTGAAGGGCCTGAGTGTTTTTGAAGGAGGGCAGGCATTGGAAAAATGCTGGAAAGAGGAGAAGGCTTTCAGGAAGTTGACCTAAGGTTCTTGAAGACAGGGAGGGGAGACCAGTAGGGACAGCAGGACAGATGCAGTGTGGAAGCTACAGAGCAGTGAGGATGAGCCTCCTTAGGGCCTCACACAGAGCTCTGCTGATCGGCTCTCTCCAGTGGCCAGTGAGAACCATTAAGTGCTGTTTTGACATAGCACCTGAGTCTTACATTGGCACATTGGTTGGTCATATTACCGAAAAGAAGTATTTGTGAATCGATTCAATGGAAGCAGATAAAGTGAAGGTCCAACTATGTAGAGTAAATGTTTTTATTTCCTTTTGTGATAAAGTAAATTATAATAAAATGAAGTTGATTACTTTGAAAACAGGAATTGATATTTTGGTGAATAATGCCAGTGCTATTAGCTTGACCAACACATTGGATACACCTACAAAGAGAGTGGATTTGATGATGAATGTCAATACCAGAGGCACCTACCTTACGTAAGTTGGAAGGAATTGCTGTGGGGGGGAATGTTGCAGTGTTTCTCAGAAAACTTAGTGGTGAACAGCATTGAACCAGATAAGCAGTGTAGTTGGTCTGTGCTAAAATCTAATCCCTAGAGAGGCCTTGAAGTCTTCAAAGTCAGTAGACAGTATTGTAAATAAGTAGCTGTGTACAGAACTTCTTTTCTCTGTGACTGTAATAAAGACTAACATGTAGCTTGAGCATTTTTTTAGTATTTGCATGAATAAATACACATGTGGATACCATGTCTTTTATTGTCTTCTGATTGCTCAACCCAGCAAGTCTGCCTTTTTTCAGAAAGACTTGAATTTTAATTATATAATGAACAGTAAGTTCCTATGAATCACACTTTAATATGACAAAAAGGCTAATGCTATCTTAGGTAGTATCAAAGGAAATTCAGGATATAGAATTAAAGAGAGAGAGTTCTGGTCTGGTCTGGATTAGTCCAGCTTTCATTTATCTACCCATTCTACCCATTTATCTGTTTGTTTATCCTCAGCACTACTCCCACCTCCCATAACTTACTTGCTTGTGACCTTGGGCAAGTAACTTAACCTGTTGCAGATTGAATTTCCTCATTTGTAAAATAGGGATAATTAGTATGTTACGGGGTTGATCATGAAGGCTAAATGTAGAATTTCTTAAGTCAGGGCCTGAATCTTGCCCTCAAATGTGTTTTGTTTGGGGTGCAAAACTTGACTGTGACAGTTAAAAAAAATTTGTTTTCTGTTACCTACATTCAAAATTACATTGGTTGTCTACATAAAAAACATCAGGAGAATTACATAAAAATCTCGACTTCTGGCTTTTCCTGAAATACTGGAAAGTCTAGCCACCTGGAGAGAGCATTCCAGTGTGACAGCAGAGAGCTCGTGTAGCCTGATGGCTGTCAGCTCCACTGTGTTTTGAATGCTGAGATCAGGCCTCTTGTTACCTGATTGTGCTTGCATTGTTGTTTCTCTTATATTAAAGAGGAAATAAAAATACTTCTTATACCTTTGTTTCTTTCTAAAGTGGGAAAAAGAAACATACGCCAAGAGGGCCATATGTTCAAGTAAAATGGGTGAAAACTTCTTTGTATGTGGCATATTTCTACAGAACTCAATATGCAAAGTATTTCTCTGTTGAATGGAAATCATAGTGAATCAAACCATGGTAAAAACTATGGCAGGTATATAGAAAAGGTGGTGGAAAAACTTAATACATTAGACATGTTTCAGTAGGATATTTTGTTGTTGTTTTTTAATTTTCAAATAAAAGAAGCAGTGCTGCTGCATGAGGCAATTATATGTTACATGAAAACATCTGGGAATCAATATCTTTTACAGCTGGCAAATGTATGAAAGAATTTTGATTAAACACTTGGTTAGACAAGTATTTAAAAAATATAAACTAGGAAGACTTGCTGACATGTTGAGTGAAGGCTTTGAAGGACACATTATGGAAAAAAAATTAAGTCATCTGTGGCAGTTTCTGTCGCACATGATAAAACCACAGATGTAAATATACCAACTACTTAGGTTATATTTACATCTGGTGTCAGGAGACTTTGGTATGATTAAAAAGCTTTTAAACTCAGTACCCATGACATGAACAACATCAGGAGATGACTTACTATTAGGCGTTGAGAGAAACCTTAGAAAGTTTGATATATATTTGTCAAAATTAGCAATCATAACTATAGACAGTGCTGCCTGATATGATCAGTGTTAACTTTAGATTTATTGACATCTAGTGTTGAAATGCTTGGCAGTGGTGCAGAAATTTGTTTTGTGCTCAAAAGTTATTATTAGCACTGAGAACTAAGTACAGTGCTATGGCTTAAGCAACCCCGTGCTTTACTTGCATTAGATAGAAGCATGATTATCTGCTGCGTGACAGAGTTGGGTGGCCATAGCTTATTGCTTCAGAGATACTGATTTTTAATTAGGAAGAAATCAACTCTTTCTGCCATTCGAGAAAATGCCTCACTCAGTTCCCAGCCAAAGATTGGATCAAGGAATTCTCCTATTTAGTTGACATTGTGACTAATGAAAACACAAATGCATGATTCTTTTTGCTTATTCCTTGTGAAATTGTGTCTTTGGAAAACCCATTTGGCAAGAATAATGTGGCCCAGTTTCCTACAGTGAGGTCCTTTTCCAAAAATGAGAGTGACAGGCTAAACCACATTTCTGCGATTATATATTTGAAGGTTCAATTCAAAACAAAATAAAACACTCTGATCTGAAACTGTAGGAAAACGAGCTCACCTTGTTCATTGATCTTTCTCAGTGACTGTTAGTGTGGTTGAAGTACTCCAAATGGAAGTTATAAGTTAAAGTACTGAAAACTGCGACTACTGTGTGAGTTTGGTGGAATAGCACCTACAGACACTTTGGGAAGAGATAACCTTCTACAAAGATTCTGTTCATTTTTTAAAGTCCCTACATTTATAAACAGTCTTTTTTTAAAATTAAAAAAAAAAAAAAAACACACAGCTAAATATTTCTCCCAGTTAAAGTCATATTGCAATTCCAAATGAAAGACCTGACATTGCTCTTTTGGGCCAAACAAGAAAGCTATCAGGTTTTTTGACCTGCTGTGAGAAGTATAAGTTATGAAAGCAAAATTCTCAATGAGATCTTTTTATTTTTAATTTAGTATATAATGTCCACTATTATATGTGTTTGTGCCACGTTACATGCTTTTAGAAGTTCACTAATAAGTTTGGTTGTATTTCTGAACACTTGATTTTTCTTATACCCAGTTCATGTTATTTCTGTATTCAAGAGCTCTAGTGGCATAGTGCCTAAGGCATTTGACTGCTAACCAGAAGTCTGGCTGTTCAAACCTACCAGCCACTCCTCAGAAGGAAGATTGGGCAATCTAATTCTGTAGTGATACTGCCTTGGAAACCCAAGGAGGAGGGGTCGCTATGAGTGAGATCCAACTCAACGGCAGTGAATTTGGTTTTTTGGTTATATGCTTTTGTGTTTGCAACCCCTGATTAAGTCACACAATTCATATGAAAGCAATAAGTATAATGCCTGGCACACAGTAAGTTTTCAATAAACTTAAGTTTTATTAATAAAAGTTATTGTTTTAATAAGCTGAGCCTATTGGCATAATGCCTGAGGCACTTGACTGCTAACCAGAAGGTTGGCAGTTCAAACCCATCAGCCACTCCCCAGAAGGTCAGAAGGAAGATTGGGCAATCTCCTTCCATAGTGATACTGCTTTGGAAACCTAAGGAGTCACTGTGAGTCGGAGATAACTCAACGACACATATCAACAACAACAATAGTTAGTAGCTGAGCATGGTGCTAAGAGTTTTCAATGTAATATATGAGACAGAAGGAGTGGCGTAGTGCCTAAGGCATTTGACTGCTAACCAGAAGGATGGCATTTCAAACCCATCAGCTACTCTGCGGAAGGAAGACTGAGCAATCTATTTCTGTAAAGATTTACAACCTCAGAAACCCAAAGAGGGTCGCTGTGAGTTGGAGTCAACTTGATGGTAGTGAGTTTGGTTTGATTTTGGATATAAGTCAGGGTATGTTGTTGGGAAAAATGCACCTGATGGAGGATTATTAATGCTGAGGGCCAGGTGGGCAGAGTGCAGGTAAAAGGATTTTGTCTAGTAGATCAAAGGAGAAGCTCATGTGGATAATGTAAATGAAATGAGCTCTTTCTTTTGAGTCTAAAATATGTTCTTATTGCCTGGAATGAGAGCCCTGGTGGCACAGCAGCTAAAGCACTTGACTGCTAACCAGAAGGCTGGCGGTTCAAACCCACCAGCCATTCCTCGGAAGGAAGGTTGGGCAATCTCCTTCTGTAGTGATACTGCCTCGGAAACCTTAGGAGGGGTCGCTATGAGTCGGATCCGACTCAACAGCAGTGGTTATTTTTTTATTTTTGGTATTGCCTGAAATGGATTTGGTTTGCTTCCTGTTGCTATTTTGAGATGCAGTTTTGCTGTTTTAGTGAAAATCAGCTATAATGTTGTTAACCCTTCTCCTGCCTCATTCCCATAAAAATGAGGTACCTTTAGAAATGAAAACAATATGTACAGAAAACCTTTAGTGAATCAGTTGTATTTGGTTTGTAAACTTGAAAAGTGGTTGCTTGTGGTCACAAAAATGTTGTACATTTGGTAATAAAAAATTGACTGGAAAGAAACGACAAGCTCAGAGTCCTTGAAGTCATTGACCATGAATAAAACTATAATATAATTGAGTTAAGATACTGTTTTAGCTTAATAATTAAAATTATAAAAGTACTAGACCTTTTATACTAGAAAAGTATAAAAGTATTATAAAAGTACTAGTAAATTGCCTACCTCTTCGTGACTGATTAAATTTGGGAATGTCCTAGGAGTCAGGTTACTAAATTACTAAATTACAGCTCTAGTGTAGTAGGAAGGAGCTCTGGTTGCACCTTGTTAGAAAGGCATTTGGCTGCGAACCAGAAGGTCAGTGGTTCCAATTCACTAGCTGCTCCATGGGAGGAAAATAATGCAATCTACTTTGGTAAAGATTTACAGCTTTGGAAAACCTATGGGGTTGCTGTGAGTTAATCAACTGAGTGGGTAGCATAGTAGGACTACTGCACCTACTAAGATGAAATAAATGGGTATATGTAATACTAGGAATAGCCACCATTTGTGTCATGTTCGTATATGCATTATTTAAAAGTACCTCAAATATATCCTTTCATTTTAATCCTTTGGACAATCCTGTATGGGCGCTGGTATTGCCAGCATTTGCAGATGAGAAAACTGAAAATTAGATTGCTGTATAATTTTCCCAAGGTTTCACAATTAAGGGGGCAGGAGGAGGATTTGAACCCAGGTCTGTGTGACTTGAACACTTGTTCTATACCACAGTGCTGGCTGACAAGTACATTAACTATTGCTGAAAACTATATGTGTATCTTAAGGAGCTCTGGTGGCACAGTGCCTAAGGCATTTGACTGCTAACCAGAAGACTGGTGGTTTAAACCCACCAGCCGTTCCACAGAAGGAGGGTAAGGCAATCTACTTCTGTAAGTAAGTAGTTACTGCCTTGGAAACCCAATGGAGGTCACTATGAGTTGAAATTGATTTGATGGCAGTGAGTTTGGTGGGTTTTTTATATGTGTATCTTGGGAAGGTTATGGTTCAGGATAACCTCAGATGGGCTTAAGGCTAATGTGTCAGGATTTGATTATTTTTACCAACCAGCATGTGATTTTAAGCCATTAACCAAAGCTTTAAAAGATGTAAATTAGTTACTTTTTCTAGCTTCATTCTAGAAAAGAGAAAACAAGCAAGTGTACCCTGCAGATTATAGAGCAACTTCAGTTGCCTCATAGGAGTGATTTAAAATTTAACTTTGAAAAATGAAGTTGTTGAAAAGCTATTAACTTGGCTTATGTTTTCTCTTGCTTTCAGATCTAAAGCATGTATTCCTTACTTGAAAAAAAGTAAAATTGCTCATATCCTCAATCTCAGCCCTCCGCTGAACCTAAATCCATTGTGGTTCAAACAGCACTGTGGTAGGTGGTAGGATGAGGGATGGTTTGTTTGGTTAATTTATTTTGAATTAAATCACTGTGTCTATGATATAATAAAAACATAGCATTCAACATTGAATTTTCTATCAGAATCAATAGTTTTTTGGAAAGTAAATTCTTAATTTTAAAAATTCAGATACATTTTGCATTCAATAAAATGCATAGGTCTTAATGGAACAGTTTGATGAGTTTGACACATGTACAAAGTTGTGTAACCAGTACCCAAATCAAGATAGAGATTTCTGTCACCCCAGAAAACTCCCTCGAATTGCTTTCCAGTCAATAAAATGAATGCATTTCATTGTATGTGATTACTCTTCAGTAAAGTTAGTTAAAAAGTATCCATGAAATACTTTACCATTGAAGCAAACTAATGATGTAAGGTGGGTGAGTAAGCTAAGGAGCCTTGGTGGTGCAGTGTTTAAGCACCTGGCTGCCAAACAGAAGGTCAGCGGTTTCTGCTCTCAAAGATTTCAGCCCAGGAATCCCTATGGGGCAGTTATGCTCTGTTCTGTAGGGTCACTGCGAGTCAGAATTGACATGTTGACACACAACAACAATAACAAGCTAAGTAACAAGATTTATGTGTAGATGTCCACTTGAAAACTGGTTGTATCACTTAGTCCTTATTTCAACATAATTCACTAAGATTTGGAAAGCTACCCAGAATAGGAACCTGCACAACAAAACTGAAATAAACTCTGTTGTAATTGACTAGGTACAATAGATTTGTACCCTTGTTTTGATTTTACTAGCAATAGTTTTCCTTTAAATGATACCTTTCATTCTTTAAAAAGAAAAGGAAGAAAACAGGTTAACAAACAGTAATATCACTTATCCACATAATATTTAGAAAAGTGAAAGTTTATTTTCAGAATGGAAATACGTAATACTAGTTCATCCTTGTTCAGCTACTTCCATAAAGATGTTCTTTTTACAAAGACTACATTTTAAAATTATGTCTTTCATATTTTATATTATTGAAAAGAATTCTGAAAAAATACACCAGGAAGGAACTAGAAAAAATTGGTTATTTTTACTCACTAATTGTTTTAAAATATTTCTCTGTGTGGTTTCTTTTAGCTTACACCATTGCAAAGTATGGTATGTCTATGTGTGTACTTGGAATGGCAGAAGAATTTAAAGGTGAAATTGCAGTCAATGCATTGTGGCCCAAAACAGGTATGTATTTTAAAAATTTATTTATTGGATTCTCACTTACTGTCCTTAACACTCTTGAGATTCACTGTTGGTGAAGTAAAAACAAAACAGAAGTTATTCCCTGTAAAGGAAGTTCAGTTATAAGGTAGAAAAGTATCTTCTAACTCAGTCCTTTGAGAAGGGTAATTAATTGAGCAATGTTTGAAAGAGAGATGTGCACTAGGTTGTAAGCTCCTTGAAGGTATGGCTTTTTGACCCATTTGTTCACTCCTTCATTCCTGATACCTGGAAGAGTGCCTGGCTTAGAGGAATTGCTCAAGAGCTATTTGTTGAATGAATAAAAACTGGTCATTGACTCTTAAAACATAAAAACTTGTCATCTTTAGGCAAAAGTATGTGTTATTCCAGTATATAATGGTTTAAAATGACAGTTTAACAATGGTATGGAGAGAAACTCTGAATATAAGGTACATTTATACAAATTGACTTTCACTGCTTTAAATGTAAGTTAAAACTCAAACCCAGCCCACTGCCATCGAGTTGATTACCACTCTTAGCAACCCTGTAGGACCCAACAGAACAGCCCCATAGGATTTCCAAAGCTGTAAATCTTTGTGGAAGCAGATTGCCTCATCTTTCTACCACTGAATAGCTGATGGGGTCAAACTGCCAGCCTTTTGGTTACCAGCCAAATGCTCTAACCACCAGAACTTCTAAAGTGTAAGCTAAGAGATATGTAAATAGACAAAAGTACTGTTCATAATGTAACACTGTGTAATTCATAATGTACTATTAGTAGGAGAATTTCAAGTTAGCCCATATATGCACAGAATTTAAAACTTACATACACCTGTGGCAAAAAGATGGAAACCACCTAAATGCCTATCACCAGAGGAGTGGATTGATAAACTATGGTACATACACACAATAGAATATTACACAAGATTAAAGAGCCATGATGAATCTGCAAAGTATCTCACAACATGGATGAACTCAGAAGACATTATGTGGAGTGAAATTATTCAGTCATAAAAAGGACAACTACTGTATGAGATCCCTATGGTAAAAAGTTAAGAAAAGGGTTTCACAACGAAATACTTTTTGATGGTTACCAGTGGTGAGTGGGTATGGGAGGGTGAACCTAACTAGAGGGTAGAGACATACTACCTTGTGTGACAGGGAGGGCAGGAATAAATCATGTAAGTTCCTAAAAATTCATGTGCTGCACCTCAGACAGGAAAAAGTACATGCCGACGTTTACAGTAATTATCTCTGGGTGAGGGGATTAAAATAATTCAAATGTTTGTCTTTTTGTTTTTCTTTATTTTATAAAAATTTCATTAAAATATAGTTATTATTGGAATTTAATATTCAATATATATATAATTTAATATTCAATATATATAGGTATTCAACCAATATTTATTGAATACCTATGGTGCATTTATACACTTACAGGCACTGGGGATATAGTGATGAACAAGAAAAGTAGTCTTTTCTTTTTTTTCTTTAATTTTATTGTGGTAAAATTTAGGTACCCAAAATTTTGCCATTTTAACCATTTTTAAGTGTATAATTCAGTGACGGCTCCGGGAACTGATGGCATACCGATTGAGATATTTCAACAAACAGATGCCCCATTGGAGGCACTCACTCAGTTATGCCAAGAGATTTGGAAGACAGCTACCTGGCCAACT